AAGTCACCTATATGAGTGTCGAGTGGGGCTGCTTGTATGAGATCTTTTCAAGATTTCTAGAACACTCATGAATACCGGGCACGCGCATGGCTTAGTAAGCGCAACACAGCGATAATAGCAAGAATTGTAGGGGTGTATTGTTAAACCGCTAACACACACTAAGTGTTTTGGTTCATATAACTTGCTACACCAACTACACGTTAAGTTTTTCAGTCTAAGACTAATTCATATAGCTTGCTATACTAGTTCTGATGCATTACATCTTATACGAGACCCAAATTTTTTTTCTTTTATTCTTTATCTCTTTTGTTTTGCAATATGTGGGGGGACTGTACTAAAATAAGGGGTATTGCAAAACAGAGAACGTTAACGTTACAGAGGACGTTAACGTTACAGAGGACGTTAACGTTACAGAGGACGTTAACGTTACAGAGGACGTTGTTACAGAGAATGCTCTGTACAGAGAACGTTACTACAGGGAACGTTACTACAGGGAACGTTACTACCAAGAATGTAAAAAGTTAGGATTTTAGGTCCAATCTACACCTATAAATAGAGACCACTCTACATTCTTCCAGATAAAAAGTTAGGATTTTTGGTTCATCTTCTCTTCTCTGTTTTCTTCCTATTCTACTATTATCCTGGGTTTATTTATTCCTTTAAGAGTTTCTTACTAGTTTCTGAGATCCTCAGAAATTCCGAGAAGTTCCTATTGTATCCGGGGGACTTGTGCAATACACCGCTAATAAGTCCTTAAGGATAGTGTTTATATACGCCTCAGGAATAAAGTTTGTTTTTGTTTCTGTCAGCTTTTACAATAAACACATGGTTTAGTTTTCAAGCTGAAATTTTGCATGTGAGTCCCCACCAACAGACAGCAATTCGTGTAATGTATTATGACTTGCTAACCAATTGCTACAAAATAGGTGTTTCCTTTCTATACTTTCATTAGCTAACCAGTCTAAGTTGCATAGTTATACTTTCCTTACGTAACCGGTCTAAGTTGTTAATAAAATCGATCTTAAAGTCTATGCTAAACTTCTACCAATTAGTACCAGTCATGCAAAGTTTTTCAAGAGCCTCAAAAAGATAAAAGTCAGCACCTCCATAATTCAAGTGCTCACTAGCAATCTTACAAAGCTCACGGAAATCCTTTCATGCTCCATGATAACAGGTACTCTTTAAGTTCATAGCTGGGCACTGGTTGCTGCTTCAAATTGAGGGATGGAAAAAAAATTCTATGTTACCCATGCAGGTGCATTTGAAAAACTAGTCATTTCTCCTATCTGAAAGACAGCAAAACTATCTTGGATCTCCACCATATTCTGAGGCAGGCACGTATAGAGTTCACTTATCCCCATCCAAAACTTCTGTAACGGGTTGACAGGATTCTAAACATACAATTCCATTTCAACATATTCAAGAGAAACTCTGATGTCTAATAACTTTTGAAGTACATCTCACAATGCATATAGTTTTTTTACCAATAATCCCCACAGGAGAATGAGCCTTCACTGAAATGATGGAACCTGTTATTATCTCTAATAATAATCTCTCTCTTTGTAAGTTTTGAAACAAGTTTCATCGCCTCATGACAATCACCACATACACGAAGATTTTTAACAACACGAATCACATCTTTGGCACTGGTGCTGATCAGTGCAAATGCAACAGCTAACTTCTCACTATGACAGCCAAGGAAGTACTCCTTCTCCTCCTCTTCTACATCAAAGAGCACAAACTCCGTCGTCGTCGGATTATATCCAGCTTCTCTCAAGTCCTTAAATAAACTTTCAAGTTTTTCATATATCTGGAGCGTTAGAGGATGGGAAGTGTCCCCTACACGGAATTCATGAACAACCCCATCCACTTCAACCCAACTACACCCGGGTAACTTCTGCATCCCTTTCTGACTCAAACTTGACCTGATTTTTTCTGCTTCATCCCATCGACGGCTTGCTGAATATATATTCGATAAGAGAACATAATGTCCTGAATTCCACGGTTCTAACTCAATGAGCTGCTTCAACACATGTTCAGCCAATTGGGTATCCTTATGTAACCTACATCCTCCCAACAGTGCTCCCCAAACAATAGCATTGGCCTTCATCGGCATACTCTTGATTAAATCTCGCGCTTCAACCAACAAACCTGCACGAGCCAAAAGATCCACCATGCATCCATAATGCTCTATAGTAGGAGTTACAGCAAAAACACAACTCATGCGACTAAAATAACGCCGACCATCATCAACCAAACCAGCATGAGTACACCCACAAAGCAAACCAACAAAAGTGTTCCCATCCGGCTGCATTCCAACCTTTCCCATTTGGCTAAACACCCCAAAGGCAGCCCCAACATGTCCACACATAGCCAGCCCAGAAATAACAGCGTTGAACACCACACAATCCTTCCTCCTCATCCTCTTAAAAACCTCCACCGCCTGCGCCACACTTCCACATTTCGCATAAAAGTCAATCAATGCAGTACCCAACACAGGATTACACAAAAACTCATCACTATCCACCAAATCTCTAGCCCAATTCCCTAACTCCAACGCCCCCAGCCTCGCACATGCAGAAAGAAACCCCACCATGGCATAACAATCTGGCTTAACATTCTCCCTCTGCATCTCAAAAAACACCTCAAGTGCCTCCTTCGGCATCCCATTGGCAGCATACCCCTGAATCAAGGCACTCCAACACACAACATCCCTCTCCACCATCCCATCAAACACTCTTCGTGCCTCCTCCATGCTTCCGCACTTCGTGTACATATCAACCAACGAGGTCGCCACAAACAGATTCCCACACAACTCACTCTCCCTCATGTACCCATCAATCCACCGTCCACTAGCCAAGTCCCCCACCTTCGAACACGCATACAAAACCCGAACCAACGTGAAATTATCCGGCCTCAAACCCATCTCCAGCAACCCTCTAAACAACCCAACAGCCTCCTCACAATAACCAAACTCAACATACCCACAAATGATGGCAGTCCAGGACACAACATTCTTGTCAGGAATTTCATCAAACACCTGGCGCGCGTGACTTAGAAACCCGTTTTTGGAATAGAAACAAACGAGACCGGTGTTAACAAACACGTCACTTTCGAAGCCGATTTTGATAACGAGAGAGTGAAGGGTGAGGCCCAGGTGGGTGTTTTTAAGCCTGGCGCAGGCTTTGAGGACGAAGGGGAATGTGAAGTTGTCAGGAGCGAAGGTGCTGCGCTGGCGCATGGAAGCGTAGAGGGAAACGGCGTCGTGAAAGTCTTCATTGGAGACGAGGCCGCGAATGAGGGTGTTGTAGAGGAAGATGTTGGGGTGGGGGGTTTGGGCGAAAACGACGGTGGCGTATTGCGTGGCGCGGAGGTTGAGGGAAGAGCGCAAGAGGGTGTTGACGAGGAAGGTGTCGTGGTGGAGACCAAGACGGAGGAGGCGACAGTGGCATTGCTTCACTTGGTGCAACGACCGAAAGCCAGAAGCCAAACACTTCTTCAACTCCGAGGCCATGTTCACGTGCAATTCTGCATGCATTCATCCACTTTTGACACTCTCAATTTGGTCTCTAAACGATAGTCCTCAAAAGTTTCACACCTTCGTTCCTCTTTCGCGTGATGCTCCACATAGATGCCACATTGAAAAAAGTAAGTTTTAAGCGTAACATATTATCAACTTCAAATAGATGATATGTGTCTCTTCTTACTTTTACCTAGGGATGGCAAAGGGGTTAGGCCCGGCAGGCGCCAGCCCATGGCGGGGCGAGTTGGTGTTTTCAGCCCACCAGCCCGCTTTGGCCCGCCCCGCCAAGCCCGCCAACCCGTCGGGCCAACCCGCAGGACAGGCGAGCCAGTCCATGGCCCGCCTAATTAATAAAAAAATAATTTTTTATTGTAATAAAATTAATTATAAAGATAATATATAAAGTTAAAAATTTTAAAAAGAGAATTAAAAAAGTTTACATTCTCACGGAAAATATTCTCCTTCCCGAAATATAATCTTCTCTCTTGTTCTCCTTATTTATCCTAAGCACTTGATTATATTTATCCTTATTACTTGAATTAAAGGTATAAGAATTACTCAACCAAAAATAATATGAAGTTTTATCAAATAAAAAAGATATAGGTATTTGAATTTTTCAATATAAAAAATATAAATTTTATAAGTTTAACGTTATATATATATATATTTGTTATTATTTATTATTATGTAAATTTTATTATTGTTCTAAATTATAATTTCTTAAAATAAAATATTGATTTATATTATTAAATTGAAATAATATATATATATATATATATATATATTGAATTATTGACAAACAAATAATAATCTTATTATTAAATTTATTAAAAAAAATTATTTAAAAAAATTATTTATTCTAAATTATGGCGGGCCAGCCACTAACCAGCCCGCTGGCGGGACGGACCAAGTTCTACGATCCGTCATGACTATATCGGGTCAGTCCGCCCCGCCCCGCTTTTGGCGGGCCAAAGGCGAGACAGGCCAAAACGGGACGGGCTGGCCCGTTTTGCCATCCCTACTTTTACCATGTTCCTCACTCGTCCTCTTCTTCCACGACAATTCACTTGATCCAACACATTGTTAATGTTTTGTCACAAATACTTATAATTTTGTCTTTTTTTCACTCAACCAACATGACATTGTGAAAAGTTTGTTTGGATAATACTCAAAGAATGAAAATGGTGACTTGATTAATCTTATATATCTATTAGGCGTCACTTCACAACGGAAAAAGAAAACAATGATATAATTGCAAATACGTTTTGGAGATAAAATGCTGAAGCATGTAGACATTTCATATGTATTGAAATTAATTAGAGATGAATTGGAAGCTCACTTTGTTCCATTTCTTGGGACAAAATGAAAAATCTCTATTTTCAGTTTTTTGCCCCAACGTGAGCAAGAAAAGCTGTGTGAATGTGGTCCAGTTTAAAAAAAATGTAAGGAACTTTTTATTACAATTGTAAATAAGTTCTCATTTCTTTCCCTTGAGATTGATTACTGCAAGCTCTTGTTCAACATACTCTCCTGCACACATAGGTGGAAATTTGCCTGCAAGTGGCAACTCTGCAAAATGTCCCAATGGCTTCAGAACTGCATCTGATGCTATGTGGGCAAACAACTACATGCACAGACAAATGTTATCAGCCAATATAACACTGACAAGTCAATTTTATAAAAGCTCTTTTTCCCTAGTTTGAAAAATGATTATTGATTCGTCCTCACTCACAGTTGAAGAGACTCTCCATAAGCTACGATTTTGCTCTTGTGCTAAATTAATGGCATCAATTGTCCTCTTTGTGGCAACAACCTCATGCATGCCAGCTATGCAATCCCCTCCAGTTAACCACTCTATCTGTATTTTAGAACAAAAGAAAAACACACCAAAGAACATATCAATCATACTTGTATAGAGGTTTGTCAAATTTTGATCTCAAAGGAGAGAATGAAATCACGACACAACTAACATCGCCGAACTGAACAATTTTTTTTTTTTTTAAAAGACAAGTAGAAAGGCAGGAAATATGAGAGGACAACGAAACAAGTACATGTTTAAAGCAGGAATATAAACTTTTAACTTCCTTCTCATGAAATATCAGCAAAATTTGGTAATTTTGAATTACCTGTTTTCCAGTCTGAATAAGAAGACATCCGATTGGAACCTTCACTTCAACTTTTTGTCCATTTCTTAACCATATGTTTAAACCAGGAAATCTACTTCTACCATGAATGGTTAGGAAGTTAAGGTCATAGTGATATCCTGCAAAAACAGTTCCCTCCTGCCCATATTTTTGAAGGTCACTCCCGGTTGGCGCTAACAGATGTGGGCCCTAGTACATGGTAAAGAGAGAAAATATATTATACAATCACTATCACTCAATTATAATTGTAATTAATTGAACTATGAAAGTAACAATAAAATGCTAAATGAGTATGCTTCAGCTTACCATTCAATTCTACTTATTCATAATGCTAAATGAGTAACAATAAAATGTATAACAAAATATATGACACTTATAAAAGGCTGAGGTATAGCCCATTTGGTGGCAATATCATGGACAAGATAAGTTTCAAAGATGCTCCTTTTGTTATTAAAGTAACAAAAGTGGCAGCCCAGTGCATAAAGCACCAGTCTAGGGAATGCTAGCATTCTATTAAACTGAAAAAGTATGACGTTGACACTTTTGAACCAGCTAAGAGTGAGAAAACTTATTACAGAACTTATGCATTCCTTTTTTGCAAATGGGATTTGTGCAGTATATCTATTTGCACAAGTAACCATGTTCCTTTTGAAGATGTCAAAGAAAATGCATGTCTTGCTGGATACAAATATAATTTTATACAAGAGAAACTATCAAACAATTGAAGTACATAATAAAAAAAGGTTGCAACAACAAAATTTCGGACGGACACTGGGAAACCTTTGCTTCATGTTGAAAAATGCACAATACTGATAGAAGAGGCTTATGATAATGCACCTTGTCAAAAGGAAATGCCTGTTAGTTATATAATCAATGATAATGCACATCTATCTTGAAGTGTTTACTTGTCATGATATATATATATATATATATATATATATATATGTCCTTTAATCAACTTATTTCCGGATACTCTTTTCTTTTGCCTTATTATATAGGTAATTAATCACCATGAAGCAATAGATGTCCTTACCAGCTTCATAAGAGAAGTAAATGCATCCTTTGGAAGACCAAATCCAATAGCTGCCATTTCAGCAACGACCTAAGGAACAGATATGCACATTTAGATCACCAGATTTAAGAAATAACATGAGAAGAAATAAAAAAGAATGACTGACTTCAATTGCTGCTATCATTTTATATCCCCAGGAATCCATAGTTTCTTTCCATTCAGGGAAACCTTCGGGTATTACTGGCTCGGCATTCAGTTCCTGCATAATTTAGAAGAACGTTAGGATTAGGAACTATTAGCATCTGTCCTTTCTTCTTCATGGATAAGAAATAAGAAGACCGAGACCTGAAAACGGGTATTTGATGGTCGAGGACCGATCCTCCAAAAGTATCGCCATTTGAGATCAGGCCCAATAGGGGTGTGAGGCTGGTTTTCTTTAGGCATTGCTTTCAGGTTCTTTTGCATTTCTTCATCAACCAAGCTTCTTGGAACTTCAACTCTCTCTGGTGTAACCCCAACCTGTCACACCCACTTGAAGCATTTGTTAAGGATTTTTTGCCATCAAAACTACTAGGATCAGATCACATAAATTAAACGTAAAAAATGATCCTAAAGCAAACAGAACAGAATGAAGTCCCTGACCACTAATGGTCCTTTATCTATTTACAAAAAGGATGCATGGTTATACAATTTTCATTGTTCATAAAATCTTCGAAGTTTGCGAGCCTCCAACAATAAAGGACCTCAAGCCAAAAACAATCGAGAACAGCTCCACACAAAGACCTTCTACAGCTGCCCAAAACAATATATTTAAAGGGGGAAAAAATCACACAAAGTACATCTATCAACGATAAACCTCAATTACCAGATAATATTTACAGAGTAGAAAATAATGCAAACTTTTTAAAATCTTGCCAATTTAAGGAAGAAAAGGAACATACTTAACATAAATTACATAGATCAAACAATAAGCAAAAAGCTTCAAAACTTGACCAATTCGAGAAAAAAAATAAAACTAAAGAAAACTCACAATTAGTCACCAAAACCATTTATCTTAGTAACCTGAATCTCTAGATTTATAAAATATCCCCTCCATTCCCAACTATGTAAACAGAGGTTCGATTCAGCTCATTTAGGTATAAAAATGGAAAAAAAAAAAAATGAAATAGAGAAGTTCGAAATCTCAAACTTGAATGCATTCTTCATTTCAATATTGGAATTCGCTGTTGTGCATTGGAATTCATAGAAGCATTTTTCACATTTTAAACTGAACATGGCCTAAGATGATATTTTCAATACCAGATTGATCGTTATACCTTTACTCAATACGGCTTACTTTACACAAAAGAAAATTTCGGCACACCCAGAGGGGAAGAACTTCAAGGACTCCAAATCAGATTGAAAGAAGGAAACTTTAGGAAAAAAAAAGAAAAAAAGCGACCCATACCTGGTAATGCAAGTGGGGTCTCTCGTGGAGGAGTTTAAAGTGGTGGGGCTGGGAGAAGTAGCGTTCCATCATATCAATGAAGCGATCGTTGTCTTGGACAGTGCAGCGAGGGTCCTTCACGAGCAGCGCGCCGGTCTCCCTGAGGGTGCGGCTGACCTCAGCGCAGAGGTGTGGGTCCCACTCGCCGGAGAGACAGGGAGAGAGATCTATGACTGGGAGATCCATTGAAGCGTTGGAGATGGCGGGAGTGTGAAGGGATTTGGACTGGAAATAGTGGGTGAAGAGACTGCCTATTTATAGTGCTTTTCTTTGGAGAGTGTGTGGATTTTGGGACCCAGCACTGGAGTGGAGTAGATTCATGTGCGCGGAATTTTTTTGAATAATTTCTAGGAAGAAAAATGCTTTTTTGATAAATAACAGTAATAATCATAATAAAATATATTCATCCAGTTTTGGATGTGGAGTTCATTTATGTCTGTGTTTCAAAAGAAGAAAGATCCTAGGAAGGAATTAGGGTAGCGTGTGATAAGTCTCCTCAATATTTCCGTAGAGTCGTGAAATTGTGGTGTTTCAAAAGATGAAAGTCAGAAGAAAGAAAAAAAAAATTTTTTTTTTTCTATTTTTCTAATTTTTTTTTCTGTATTTCTTCTTTCCAAATATAGGTTAGCACTTTTCTATATAAAAAATATATCCCATATTTTCACTTTATTTTTATATGATATCTATCTATTACATTTATGAAGAAGTTCTGGAATTAATTTGATATTTAATGGTGATTAATTGATATTATTTTCAACTTGAATTGTCATCTATATGTATCAATTTATATTAGGAATTATTATATTTTAATCAATATTTTTTAAGTTCAATATATATAATTTTATTGTAAATTATCTTTCATATTTTATTAATTAAATCATTACCCGTCCAAATCAATGGACCCAATATCGTCAATTCATCCTAAAGACACCTAATTTATATTTTATGGATAAAATCATTCTAAAAAAAAAATCTCAAAAAATAAAATTTTTTAAATTAAGGACAGATGAAACATTTCAGAATGTTGAATACCACGATTCTGCCAATAAATACTGTAAAGTCTTAATCTTTATTTTAAAAAAAATAAGGAAAAACTTGATTTTAAATTCATATTAATTATTTTTGTTATTTAAGATAATTTCTCGTTTTGAATGAAAAATTGTCAATCAAGATCGTATAAATGGAATTCTACTACCTACTATTGTTACAAGAGACACAGAAAAATTAATTTTAACAGGTCATTAATTTTGGAATGAGTGCAATTCAAAAAATAATTCAAAGTACATAATTATTTTTTTAGATTATTGGTAACATTTGAAATGATCAATATAGAGAATGTATTATATACTACAAAATTTGTTGTAGAATAACAATTTCGGAAAATCGAAACTTTGATCTACCAAAAAAACAAAAAACAAATTGTATTTTATGTACTTCTGTGGATGATTTATATTCACTATTTTTAATTATATTCTTACAAGATATATTAAAATTATTTTTGATAAAATAAATTTTTATATAATAATAATAATAATAAATATTTACATTTAATATAATTAACCTGTTTTATTTTATCTTTATATATTATTAACATTTTAGGTTCATATTTTTCTTTTAATGACTTTTAGAGCTTATATTCTCTTTTGCACGGACGTAACATTTAAAGTTGTATTCATTATTTAATTATCATATAACATAAAATTAATATTTATTTTAATAATAATTAAAATTTAATAAAATAATAAATATATAAATATTAGATAAAATATTAATATGATAATTATGTTAAAACACATATATTTATCAATGATTTTAAATTGGATAAATCACTATTTAAAATTTACATATTCAATTGGAATTTAATTTAATCTAATCAAATTTTATAAATTTTTTTTATATTATAATAAATATATAGTAAATTTATAATAAATTTATTAATAATAATATTTTTTATAAAAAAATAATAAAAATTATTTTCATTTTTAATTATAATAAAGATTTTAAATATAAAATATATTAAAGAATATAAAATTATAATTATTAAAATAAGATGAAAATATAATAAAAAAAATTATTATTTAAAAATATAATTAATATGAGATAAAATAAAAAATAAAATATATTAAAATATATTATATTTTATATAAAAAAATATATTAAAAAATTGATTTTAATTTTTTTATCATACAAAAGTTTAGTAAAATTTTATTTTAATTTAATTATTTTGAAGTGACATACCGATTAGACTTATAAAGTTATATGTTGAATCCAATTTTTATAATAATTATTAAATAAAATATTTAACTCTTTTTTTATAAGAAAAATACAAGTTAAATTTATTAAAGGTGAGGATAATATTGGAATTTTTCACACAATAAATAAGAGAAATAACGAGGCTAATCTTAATGAATATGGAGTCCAAAATTTTCACACATATTAGAAAAAAGTCCAAAATAATTCTGAATAAGAATAAATGATTTAAACACAAATTTACGAATCATAAATAATTGAATAATTAATGCAGTATTTTTAAAATGACATAATTTATTTTCCATTTGAGTTGGTGCACGAGCATCACGCGTTGGACCATACGGGGTTTGTTACTTAGAGAATATTTATCATCGGTGCGGAACACACCTGAGAGCATACCATGATGATGGTGACGGTGGTGCTTCTCTTCCTCGGATCAATGCTTACGCGGACAAGCTCCCGTTTGGAGGCGCCGGCTTCATCACCGCCCCTTACGGCCCCTATTGGCGCTTCGTGAAGAAACTCTGCGTGACCTCACTCCTCTCCGCGCGGCAACTGGAACGATCTAAGAAGGTGAGAAAGGAAGAGATAAAAGGTTCCGTGGGAAGGGTGCTGGAGAATGCAAGAGAGAAGGGTGGTGCAATCGATTTGGGGTCTGAATTCATGAAACTCACCAACAGCTTACTTGCAGGATGGCCATGAGTACTAGGTGCGCACGACTTCTTCACTTCTATGTATAATTTTTTTTTTTTTTTAACATAAAAGTGAAAAATATATAAGAATGTAGTGTATATAATTGTTCTTTTTTATTAAAAGTTATCTACAGAAATAATGTTCATTTATTTTAAAATAATGATTTTGGAAATATAGACTAACTTGTTATAGAAATAATAATAATTATAGATAGAAAGATTATTATCTATGATAGTGTATAATCTTCCTTACATCCCATAAGTCAAGAACATAGAACTGAATATCAAGATTGTGATCTGATTATTGATAGTGGCTGGTCAACTTATCTTGATAAGATAGATTCCAATAGAATCTTTGGAACCAAAAAATCTATAATCTATTTTTATAAAATCGAGTTATAATTAAGGTGAAATTTGAATCTTAATTATATATTATAAATTTTATATATTTATAATATGCGTGGATATCCCGTGACGAAATAAAAATAAAATTAGTGAGGTGGAGGAGGGATAAGAAGGAGAAATTAATATGTCTGATATTATCATGTCATATATGGTGCAACCATTGAGCTATATATTACATGTGATAATGCAAATCATTCTGAAGAATGAAAACGTTAGCACGGTTATTTAACACACTGAACTACGAGCTCAACTATTATTGAATCATATGATTGGCTGGATTCGAAGAATATCGTTCTATCAAACTCTTTGTGTCCTGCTTTGGAGCAAGTTGTTCGGAGAAATGCGAGGATGCAGAGAGGATAAGGAAGCTGGTGAAGAAATCCTTTGAGTTGCTGCAAAGTTATGCTTTGGGGATGTGTTGGGTCCTCTGAAGCAGTTGAGTTTCTGGGTGTATGGGAAAAAGGCTTTGGATTGAGCACAAGGTACGATGAGATGTTGGAGAAGGTGCTGAAGGAGCACGAGCACAAAGCATTATCACGTGCCAATGGACATCATAGTGATGAAGAAAGTGAAATGGATTTGATGGACATTCTGCTACAAGTTTACCATGATGCTCATGCGGAGTTCAAGATCACAAGGACTCATATTAAAGCCTTCTTCTTGGTAAGCTTTCTATTGATTATTGTTGAAGAAGAAGATTGTGATGGACTCTATGAAACTAAAATGATTTTTCTCTTGTTGGGACAAGGACCTCTTCATTGGAGGCACAGATACCTCAGCAGAAGCCATGCAATGGGCAATGGCTGAGCTCCTCAACCACCCTGAAGCCTTTCAAAAGGTGAGAAAGGAGATAGAGTTGGTGACTGGCAATGCCAGGCTAGTTGATGATTCAGATGTTCCCAACATGCCATATTTGCAAGCAGTTGTGAAGGAAACACTAAGACTCTACCCACCAGGACCAGTCACAACAAGAGTGTCGCCAACACTGCAAGATTAATGGCTTTGATGTGCCACCAAAGACAGCAGTGGCAATCAATTTCAGCTTGATGAACATTGCAGTGGCTACTATGTATTATGAAATACACCAGTTAGTTTAAGTAATATATTGTGTAAGAATGAGAAAGTTGATCAATCTATATAAAAGAAAGACCATTAAGATTTTGTGCTTTGATTGAAAAATTGGTGAAGATGGAAAAGGATAACACATCTTATAAAAGCCAGTTTTAACCATTTTTTTATCACACATAACAATTCATAATTAATTGCTAGGATTTATTTTGCATATGCAAAATTGATGAAAGATGTTGAGAATTTAAGTGTGTTTGAAATCCTAGATTGGATAAAAATGAGAAAGTTGAGTAACTTATAAGAGAAAATGATCCATAACGTAATGCCTTAAGGTTTTGAGTTGAAGATGGTGTTATATTCTCATATATAGTTAACTTGTGTACCCATGCGAAGAGACTCGTACTTGAAAAGAGATTGTTGAGTAATCCAAGTGTGAGTTAAATCTCACAATAAGATTTTTTATTGAGAGTAGTGTCAATCTTTATGTTGGTTCTGCTCGATCACAGTTGAAGGAGAGATTGTTGAGAATTTAAGTGTATTTAAAGTATTACATTTGATACAAATGAGAAAGGAGAGTAACTTATAAGTGAGAAAAACTCATAACTTAATGCATTAAGATTTTGAATTAAAAATAATATAATATACTTTTATATGGTTGATTCGTATTTTAGAAAATCTTCCTATTATTATCCTGAAATACCTAAGAAAAGAGAATATAGAATTTTTTTTTAAAGAAATCAAATTTAAGAATTATATAGAGACATTAATATATTTAACTTCGAAAAAAAATAATACTCATTACTCATAAATGTATCCAATCAACAGAAGTTCGATGCAACTGATTATTGAGTAGCCTTGGTCATTTGCGTGGCCTATATCGATTTTGATGTGTATGAAATTTGAGTAATATTATAAATAAGTTAAAGTTTGAAAATGGTTTTTCTAAAAGAAAAAGAAAGGTGGTTTGGAAACCAGGGAGTATGAGACGCAAAAACTTAGTGTCTGAAATAGCAACTAAGATCAATAATAATTCACTTACTGTTCTATTCCAATACGTAACGCAACCCTTAAACAGAAAACCCAATAACATTGAAACTATAACCCCATATCAAGGATCACCTATTTGATCATCTACCTTTTCCTAACCATGAGACTTTAGCCAACACAGCACTCAAAGTCATTATTCAAGGCAAAATGCCATAAACTATGGTTTATATACGTTTGAGATCTCTCGAAGTTATATAACTCATAACTTTGGTCTTAGTTTCAAGCTAGATGAGACTAAGTCTTCTTTACTTTGATTTTATTTAAGAAAATTCCGACAGTTTAGCACATGGCAAATAAAATATATTGGTAATCTGTTGATTCTTTCAATGGTGAACCTTACACTTGTCGTAACACCATGGAGCCAAACTTCACCTTGTTCCCATTCTATAAAGATTGTGTTTTCTGAACCTCCTAATTCTCTCTCTAAATAAGTATCACTCTTAGCTCATGCAAACCGTGAAGTGTGACAAAATCTAAATAAGTTATGGCATTGCCTTCTTGTCATGCTTCTGTCATCAGGTTATTGCAATGCATGTTCTCTTTCATCAACACACCACATGTAGTATTTGGTTTTCAAACCTGTTTTCTACATTTACTATAATTTATTGACAATGTACCTTCCTCGTATTTGTTTTTTAGCAAAGAGTGCATGCATTGATGATGTAAAAGATTTGCATGCCATCACTCAATTACGAACAGACATACATGATAAATTTGTTAACTTTCACAATGACTGTTCATAAAAATTAAACTCTTTTTTATTTCAGGAGTGGATGAAACAGTTTTTATTTTACAAAATAGATGTAGAGACAAAGTATGGCCTGGAATCCTAACAGTAGCAGGAAGATCCTAACAGTAGTGCACCACCAGCTCTGTAGCAGAGTTCACACTAGACAGCCAGATGGGGGATTTTTATGATGTTTACAACATGTCAGGGTCAATCTTCCCAACCAGAGGATCTAGCCAGCCAGTGTAAGCAGTTACATGCCGGTTGGATTTGAATAGAAACTGCCCCAGTGGGTTGGAACTGAGGAACCAATGTCACATTGTTATAGCCTTCAACAAGCCAGAATATTGTTGCACTGGTCACTTCAATAGCCCAAAGAAGTGCCAGCCAACAAGTTATTGTGTGCAAGGCTTCTTGTCCTCAGGCTTATAACTATATGATACAACCAGCACTTTCACATGCCAAGGAGCAGACTACTTTTAATTACGTTTTGTTAAAAAGGATAGAGAGGAATAGACATTATATTTCCAGTGTGTAAATGTATGTTTCTGTTCTTTGGTTCCTCTAGTATGGTAGATTTTCTACAGAAATGTCATGTCAAAATACTCGAGTTCATTATTACGAGAAATATCCTAACCATTGAATATTTAAAAAATGGAAGAGATTAAAATATGTGATAAATTTATCATGAAAAGCAGGCCGGATAAAGTACAAAATTGAGATCCATCCAAACTAAGTATATGAACATTAATTCCACTGCAATGGAACGTAAACATTTTTTAAAGTTAACATTAACGGAAGTATCTCACAAACTCATTACAAACTTTATCTTAATTAAATATCACATCAACCGGAATGTGCTGAGATCAATCTAGTATGATAAAAACAATATAAAATGCCTGGAAAAAGGGGATAAAAACTTCAGCAAGGAAATGCTTTAAGATAAATAGAAAAGCAGAAGATTTTCCATAGATAATCAAACTTTATTCAATAGCAGCATGAATTGTTTTAACAATGACGTTTTCCTGTCATGTATAACTGAGAGAAAAATGTCCTATTTGCATTCTTGGGAAGCAGCTTTGAGCATTAAGTCATGACAAAAGATTCACTTCTAGATTACATTGAACATACTACTCAAACTCATGATATCAATCTTGAGTTTGCAAAACTATGCCTAACAACTAACTCTTGAAAGGTAAAGTAAAGAAAAATAGACGTCAAACTATATATGAAATCCACAACAGCATGGGGGAGAGAGCAAAATAGGCCTTACCCAAGATAAAGGTGGCTCTAGGTGAATACAAAATTCTAAAGAATACTACAACAATTGAATCTTTTTTTAGCATTCTGGCATTCAGGTTCTTGAAATTGGACCTTAAGTTTTGTTCCTTCAAGTTCAAGGTTTACTTTATCCCAATTTGATTCATGTCCATCCACAAGGATTTGCTTCCTACTGACTGTTCTATACACTTGAGAGAGGAGACCAATGAAAGCTGATTCCACATTGGTGGAGTCAAGTGCAGATGTCTCCAGAAAGAACAGACCCTCCTGCTGTGCAAACTCTCTTGCCACCTCAAGAGGCACTGCTCGAAGAGAACTCAGGTCAGATTTGTTGCCAACAAGCATGACAAGTATATTTTTATCCGCGTGTATCCGGAGCTCATCCAACCACTTCTCAACATGATCAAAGGTTTGCTGCTTGGTTATGTCGTATGCTAGTAACGCCCCGATTGCACCCCTGTAATAGGCAGTAGTAATTGCCTGGTACCTACCATGAATGCCAACATTGTCACATGAAAATGAAATAGATATACATCTCATACAAACTAGGATTTTGATAGTTGAAATTGCAATTTATTTGTGATTCTAGGCATTGCGGGAAATTGTAGATAAAGTCAGCTAATGCAACCACAATTGCAATCGCAAAAAGCCCCAAAACCTTCATGTTGGGGCTGAACTCAGTCATAGACAGTTTTCAAAACCTTGGTTAAAAACTCATCACACATCCTATTCTGTGTCAGCAAAATGAAACAATGGAGCTCACCAAGAAGCCATCGGATGGTAAACATTTGATGATTATCATATTTACTTGAAGGACCATAATTCACCCACGTGCATCTTTTGGTTTGATTATATTATATTAAAAAGGAAAAACTATGCTGATTTTTGTATCTTAAAAGATCTTATCAGATCTCAATCTCTACCTCTCAGATCTTAGTTGTATTCTTAATCAGTATCCTAGAAAAATAACAATTTCAGCTCAACACCGCAGAGTGAGACTGTGGCATTAAACCACAGTGATACTAAAAAAAAAAGAACCTAACTTCGAAAATGAATGCATAGTAGAAAAATGTTGGACCTTTCTTGACCAGCAGTGTCCCAAACCTGTGCCTTGACAAGCTTGTGATCCATGACGACCGTCCTAGTCAGAAACTCCACCCCAATTGTGGGTTTCGATTTCATGTGGAATTCGTTCTTCACAAACCGATTCAAAAGCTGAGACTTTCCAACCCCAGAGTCCCCAACCATCACAATCTTGAACATGTAGTCTATACCTTCATCAGCATCACCCTGCCAATGAGCCATTATGCTTCAAGGAACAACCCTTTTGAAAAATGAACCCAACAATGCAAACCCCACAGAGTTTTCTGCATAAAAACGAGGCCTTTTTTTCCTTTCTAGGTGCACACGATTTGTGTTCCTGGAAGGAAGGTTGTTTTGTAAGAAAGGGAAAAAGGGTTGGTTGGAGAGGCAATTAGGTAAGCGAAAAATGGCATGTCAATCAGTTTCATTCATCAATGTTGGTTTTGTGTAGCCACTGAAAAGCGTTCTTTTGCTGAAAGCAGAGGAAAACAGAGTTTACGGTTTGGAATTTGGACAGCAACTTGGGACACACGACAAGAAAGGAAGATTGGGATATTGACACTTTCGTAACCACTGAAAAGGAATTATTTAAGTAAAAACTTGCATACAATTTTACAGATGTTCATCACCAAAGAGAATTTCAATGTTTGAGTTCTTGAAAATGTGATATGATGTTAATTTAGTCGTTGAAAGAAATAAAATTTTCAGTTAGTTCAGTGCATTGAAAGTATGATAATTATGCTATCGTGTACGAGGAAATTAATCGTCCATTCACATGATAATGATGGAAAGGATAAATTATATATATATATATATATATATATATATATATATATATATATATTATTTTCTATTTAGTTTTATTTCATTATTATTTTTAATGTTTATTTAATTTATTATTTTTAAACGAGTTAATATTATACTTTTTCATTATGGTTAAATTATTTAATGTAAAAAATGTAACATGATTATGATAATTAACGTAATAACGCCAACCTAATTAGATATTATGAAAATGTCAAGTAACATTAATTATTTTACAAAAATTATCAAATTAATATTAAATAATACATAAAATTGAAATGATTAAAAAAATAATAACATGATAAAACTCTTTAAATCAAAACTAAATATACTTTAATCATAAAAGTACTGATATTATTAGTTAATTAGAAATAATCGTAGAGATGATTCTTAATCTAATTATTCGAAAAAAAAACATTTTTTTAACTTATACGGTAAAATATATAATATTTATTTAATTATGAAAATAATTTAAATCGTTGATTCTCTTCAATCCAATTTGAAGAGACTAGTCTATTAATTTAAATTTGACAATTATGTATAAAAATAATTAATCACAATTGAGCTACAGATGGAATAAAATATGAAATGTTGATTTATTTATAAAAATATACTAAAGACTTAAACAAAATCTTTATTTCATCAAAATTAGAATAAGTTTGCTTTTTATCTTCTAATTTATTACAATTTAAAAAAAAATTGTAATTAAAAAGCCATAATTTAAAAGGGATAATTTAGCTGCATCTTGAACAGTTATATACATTCATCCTCTAACCCTTTATAAAGTAATAATATATGAATGAAGAAAATGGATGGCATGCATTGGCATATGATGATACCATTTGCTCCATCTTCAGCCTCTGTTGATGATCAAAACTGAGGATTCTTTTAGTTGAATTTGACTAGAAAGTGGTTCTGAATGTAGGTGGATTCTTGAATGAGTGGAGTTGGGAAGGAGAAGGACTTTCAGCAAGAAATACTTGAATGGCTTGAAAGTCTCACTTGAATTGAGTCTTGGACAGGGTATGTGTTGACTATCCTTCCCTTCTGTTTGCTGTCATTTCTACTTTTCTATACATAGATCTCAGGGATTCTTTCTTGTACAGTGGCAGAATCTAAATCCTACTTGTCATGTTTGTAAATCATACATCTGATACATGTGCATATGAGTAACTCTTCATAGATTATTAAGAGTATATAATTGTGTTGTGATCACAGATAATTGTGTATGATCTTGTTTATTTATTTAACAGTACCAGTTAGTTAAAGATAACTATCTTCATAAATGTAATTAACAACTAGTGACAATAATGAGTCTCTTTTGATTTTGTAGTTCCTATTAGTCAATAATAAATTATGTGCTAAAAGAAGTGTATTTGAAAATGAATTCCTAACCCAAATCTTTGCTGCATTAACACAAGCTATACCTCTCCTCTCATATCTAATGTCTTCATCAAGGCATATTTTATCCTTTTTTTTTTTTTTCATGCATTCATTAGTTGTTGTTGTTGTTTCTTCCATATATATGCACTCACTCTTAAATTAGCATGTGACAGTTTCTCAGGACTCAAAACCTTTGATAAGTAAAAAGAACAATTACAATGACTTTAAACGAGGAAAAATGAAAAAGAAAACTGAAGACATTCACAGAGAACCGAGCCTAACTTCTTTGGTACTATCAAATATCAGCACTATTCTACATAATCACACTGACCCTAAATTTTGGTACACGAAATGATAAATACAAAAAAAAAAAAAAAAAAAAAAAAAAACCTGCTTCTTTTTGTTATCTACAAGGATATAAATCAGGCACAAGGTCTAGAATATTGCTTCTGATTACTCGCACACGTGCACTTTGCCCTAGTGTCAGTGAGCATCTGCAAGATGAGAAAATTATTTGGTTAGACAATAAAGATTATAGTGGAGGGTAATGAGTTACTTCATTATTTTTTTATAAGGATTTATGGGAAGATTTAAATTTCTGCAGTACCTTAACTTGTTTCTGCAGGTCTTTAATGTACTCAACTGCCAAATCCAACATATCAGCTGTGCTTGTTTGCTGCCAACCAAGAGGCATCAAGTCATCAAAGTGAACATGAAAAAGCTTCAAGCAACAGTGTGATTTGCTAGAGAGAGAGAGTAAGTTTACCTTGTCTGATTTTGGGAAAAGGTCTTGCAATTTCTTGATTCTTTCACTAATTCGTGTTCTTCTTTCCTGAAATATGCATATCAAGATAACACATGAAGAAGGTCAGCAATAGGTACTACATAAAATTGTGATGCAATCATATGATCAAGGTTATAATGCGATCCTTGACACAGTAGGAAATTGCAGACTAGTCTGGCTGATGCAACCACAACTATGTGAGAACAAACCCAAAACTTTGACATGCAATTTAAATTACGGTCACAGAGGTTGTTTAAAACCTTGCACATGATTTGTAATATAGACTAACACTAGAATCAAATGAGACTTTTACCCTTTCAGCAATGCTTCTTGGGTGAGTGGCAAAACCTCTCTTGGCACGAATTTTACATGGAACAGCTCCTTGAATTTGATATAACTTCTCCATGGTAGCCATTCTACTAGAAGAGCTGGGAAGACTCAAATGATGGATCAGACCAACCTTTTGATATCCAAAATCTGCATCCTGGTGACATAAATTTTCACTTATAAACATAGGGAAAAAAAAAAGGCCAATACTGAGGTCGGCTAGATGAATTACATGATGTCATTCATTCAGTGTCTTGAGTAAATTCTTCTATACCTGAATATCCATTGCATTTGAAGTGGAAAATGATATTTCACCATTGTTACTAGCAGTTGTGGGGGCACTGAATGCAGAACCATCCCAGAAGTCGGTGGTGAAACTAGGCATGTAAGACTTAGTGTTGCCATTGTCATTCCTCAGGTTTCTACTTTCAACACAATTTGCTTCCACACCTTCATTTCCATTTTCAGCAATCTTTGGCATCCTGGTGGAGCAAGAGGATGGCCTAGAAGAGAAGTTCAAAGTACTATGCAACCCACTAGTGGATGTAATACCGCGTCCATTTGATGCATCACAGCCCCTAAAACTCGCCACATCTCTCAGTGCTGCAAGATTTCCAATCAAAACAAAATGTTTATACTCTCTGCAACACTAAATATCGCTTCAGGCGTCAACAAATCTGAACTGAAATTAGTGATATCTTTGATGAATTGAAAAACATAAAAGAGAAAGAAACACAGATAATGATATGTATTTTTTTGTCTGGCTTACTGAAAAGAACATAAAAAGGAAAGAGAGCAAAATTAGCATTTTAACTTTTTTTTTTCTTCTCTACAATTTTCCTTTCCTCCAAACCAAAGCAAGTATTTACTGGAGAGAGAAAATGTTTATTAATAAACATAATATTTGTATCTGGCACTGATACCCAGAAGGAAAAAAAAGAATAGATATAATTGAAGGATTCCCTTGTGACCAAATTTTTTTGTACTTTTACAGCTAATTCTTGTGCCTTCTTTTCTCAGATTCTTCATTATATTTCATCCCTGCACATCTTCTTTTCCCCCAAATGTACTACATGATTAGTTTTCTTTTGATTCAAAGATATTTAATTTCTCAATAAGAACAGTTAAAATAAAAGTCAACTCTGTGCAGGAAATGAATATTCGATTTTATATTCTGTAAGTAACCCCAATTGCATATTTAGCAATACTGCAGGAAAAAAGGGATCTGACTTGACTTGAAGCCAATTAATTAACTAGCAGACTTTCCAGAATATAAATTTAAAATTCCATAAATCTTAGATCAGACCCCTTCAATTCACATGACCAAATTAATTTTAAGGGAAATCCTTTTTGAATCTTAGCCGTATGAGAGAGAACACATTACATCCATAGTAAGAAGAAAATTTTACACAAAACGAAATCACTTTGATAGAAACACTAACAATATGAATCCAATTATAGATTTTTCAAGTATGGTAAGGTTATTTACTTTCATACTAATTTTTGAAAGTCATATTTTGGGTAAGTTTTATTTAATTGTAAAAATCTTTGTATGAAAGTTTAACTCAAATGAAATTTCATGAGAGTCATCGAGTAAGATGAAAGGTCTTACCATTATCAACTGAGTAATTGGAGAAAAACCCCGCAGGGGAACTCTTTTGCCTAATGAGATTGGAGCAGTTGGTGGAAGCACCCATTTTGGTTTCTGTGGAATTTTGTGAACCCATGCAATTCACTGCACTGAATGAGCCATCAAAACCATTCCCTGCAGCCCTTAAAGAACCATTTGGCATAGGCAAGCCTTGAACTTGCTCAGTTTGGTACAATATCTGAGGTGAAGACCCATAAGTGTAACCATTGGGTTGTTGTGGTGGCTGTGAAATAGATTCCCCTGCTTCTTCTTCTTTCACTGGCTTCCCTCCAAACTCTTGGAAAGGCTCAGAATCATTGGAAGAAATCAACTTGGCCAACATGGTCTCCATTTCAGAACTTGTGGAGGGAGGATAATGCTGCTGCTGGTGGTGATTGTGGTCACTTCCGAAAGCTTCACCACTGACATAACCAATGTTGTTGTTGTTGTTGATGTTGATGCTGTTGTTATTGTTATTGTTCACAAGGCTTGTGAGCAATGAGCTTGGGGCAGAACGGTACCTCATTAGCCCAGAATTCTGTTGGTGACAATGTTGACCAACACTTGAATCCATCTCTGGGTTCATTCTTGTCACCTCTTGGGAATACTTCACAGCATGACTATACACAATACTCATCCTATCTTCACAATTACCTGAAAATAACAAGGAAAATTATAATTGTTCTTTCGGAATCAATAACCATATCTCAATACAAGGCAATAGTTATCCTAGTTTGTTGTTTTCTTCATTAGGAAATGAAAATCACCCCCAAAGAAAAAGAAAAGAAATGAAGTTGTCCTTATGTTTCCTTTGTTTAACCAAGCTATGTTTCTTTCAATTGGCCTAGAAAATTTAATACCAAAATTCCAAATGGAATGAAAATTCTGCCCACAACAAAGTTTAAAGCAGCAAAATCTGACAAGGGTCAGAAAAAAAAAGTGTCATTCTTACAGAAGGGGAAACATTATTTCTTGTTACAATCTTTCTTGAATTCTGTTCCTACCATAACAGGAGTAGTAGCTTTTGGACCATAAATCTTAAAAGAAAAAGTTTAAAAAGAAAAGAAAAGAAATTAGCAAAATGAAACACAATAAAGGGCATACATGCAACTAAAAAAAATTTGGCTTGTTATGAGTTGAATGAGGCAAAGGTTGTTCAGCTTCAAGAGTTTGTATCAGAGCTCAAAATCCAAACACAGAATTAAGAGGAAGAGAAGAGTTGAGGGGATGAAAGCTGAAAATCCTGGGATATATTTATGTAGTTTGTTGTTCAATGATTATTACCCTTATATTTCTTCATTATAACGATAATACCATGATGACATAAAGTGGTCCATGATAACCTTTTGTCTTTTTCCCCTCTCTTTTTCTTCATAATCTTCCCTTTGACGAAACATACATTACCCCGTGAATTGGCCAAACTTAAGAATGTGCGTTTCTGTATCTGACTTTCTTTATGCATGTGCATTCATTACACTATCTTTTTAACTATTACTATAAATAATGTTTACCACATTCTTCTCAACACACATTTTACTATCTACTAAAATTCATCGAAAACTATAAAGCCATGAAAAAGATGTCATTCTTGCACCATCAAAATAAGAATGCTCAGCTCACCCGAGTTAATTATTTTTGTTATCATTTCTACTATAAACAAACAAGCTTTGGAGGGTTTTCTTTGTTTTTCATGGAACTTAGGAAGTTATAATAATAATAAAAGAAGTATATTCGGGGTTCTTTGGTTGCAGGAAGTGGGAACCACCTTTAGACTTATTAGGTTCTTCCATTATCTCCTAAATGCTTCTATTGTTTATTAGAATCATTATCATTTCTTAAAAGACATAAGTTACTGTTTCTAGGGAAATGCACTTTATAGTAAGATTTGTAGTGGTTGGATGCATAACCATGATTCAACGGATTTAAGGAAATCTTTTTTTACTTTATAAATTTATGGAAAATCAAAATAAGCTAAAAGTTACCAATGGTCAAACACTGTCATCAACAACAACTAAAATTTTCTGCATAATTATATCAACCACCAGATTCAGATCAGTAAAAATCATTCAAAATTTCCAAACATATATCTTGATGGACCAACACAATTAGCAATAATATCTCATGGTGGTAATTGTTGACAATTATTGATGGATAGATATGTTGATATTTTGTTATGAGTAAACTTAACGGAAGTGTCATTATTTTAAACTGATATTGCAGCAGCCATCGCCATCGTCATCCAAAGTTTTGCATTGTCCGCGAACAAGAAAGTCTTGTTTTGTAATGAGCAAAATTGTTAGTCTTTGAAATGTGTTTCATCAGAAACTTCCTTTTCTTTCTTTCTTTCTTTAGCACTGTTAAAATATTTGGTTTTCACACAGTTTAATTGAGGGTGGCTATGATATTTAGTTATTTATTTGCAGAAGACATTTCGTAATTAAAACAAAGTGGCCCATGATGTGTATGAAAGGTTCAAAATTAATTTGGTTAGTCCATTTTTATTTGGTTCAATGGAAAAGCACAATAAAACAAATAACTGAGTCTGGTCAAGTTCTTCTTTCAGCCCACTATTTTAGGCCGAAGCGAAAAACTAAGGAAAGCCAAGCCATTTTTTTAGCCCTTTATACCAAAATCTTTTTCACAACTCTAAAAAAAAATCATTCCAATATATGCTTTAGAACTTTTTCAATTTCTTAATATATATATATATATATATATATATATATATATATATATATATATATATATATATATATTAATCTAATTTGACATTAATATAAAGCCTGTTTTCACTGGTGTGAATATGCTGTAACCTTCTATCTTTCTTTAATGGATTGAAATGAAAAGTCAAAGGAGTTCTAAAGCCTCCAGCTAGCAATACCCCAACCACAAAATATGACTGGTCATTGGTCAATGCATTATCCTCTCATTTTTCTCATCAAAACTCCAAACTACTATTTACCAAAAGGAATAGTAATTTGACCGAAGAGGGTCAAATTATGAGTAATCTCATCAATATCGTCATTTCTTAATCGATTTTATAAGGATTAAGATTTAGGGTTTAAAAATATCTTTCAATAAAATTAGGTATTTTATCGATTTTAAGATATTATCAAAATTAATCTAGGAATATTAGGATATTATCTATTGAATAAAATAAATTATTTATTATTGAATTAATATTAGATCTTTCATTTTTATTATTGTACATATTTTTACACACATGAATCTGGTGCTGTTTTGATTGTTGGCAGTGTCAAACGTTTGATATTTTAGAGAAAGTGAATGTCAAAGACCATTTCATAAAAAGACAAATGAGTTGGTTGAATTGGTATAAGGCATAGACTATGCTTTTGTTTGTAATTAGAGATTCAAAGTTTAAGAAACCCACATCTCCAACAACAATAACAAAAACTTCGTTGCTATCGCCGCAAGCAACGTTAGAAGGAAAATTGGTTCTCAAAAACAGGATCATGAGTCAACGTTTTACTACAAAACATTTTTATCAATTTCACATAAATTGTGTGTATGTATACGTGTATATGCATGTATTATGTATATAAACACAGACAAGTATTTATATGTTATTTTTTAATTTAGTTTTGGTTTTAGAAGATGGATAACTACTTCAATATATATATTTTTTTACACATTAGTATTTGTTCATATTTAAATTAAGATAAAAATTTTAAGTTTGTCGCATTTTCCTTCTCAAAAATCTCTCAACTATTTGTATTACTTTTGTTTTATTTCTTAAAGTAAATTTTACCAAATATTAGATTCTTATATATATATTCGACTTCGAAAATATTTTTTTAAGAGGCTAAGATTATGAAATTGTTTGATTTAATTTTATTTTTTATATTTTAAGAATTTTAAAGATTGCTTTTTGAAAATATTATTTTTAAAAATAAGTTTTAAAAAAATGGCTTGATAATTTTATTTTAAAAAACTATTTTGGATGAGAGGAATGTCATATATAACTAAAAAAAATAGTGACAAATGTTCAATGATGAACATAATTAATTTAATTTAATTATTAGTAAAAGTATATATATTCATTAATAAAAACAAAAAAAAATCTATTATTAGTTTTGGTTAACAAAGCATTATTAAACAAATTTTTAAAAATTAAAAACTAAAATTATTTTTGAAAACATTAAACAAGTAAGTCTAGATTTAATTATTTTTTTTTTGGCATTTAACTGATCTCATTTGTACTCATAATGTGTGTATTTTTCTCTAATTATTGACTAGTTGGGTTCTGCCAAATAATATTGATAATATATATCCTTTTAGTCAAACACAATGCTTTTAGTTCACATGTTCACCGACATGAATACTATAGTCTCTTTTCCCCTAACATTCAACAACTTCAAACACTAAAAGTCTTACATTTTCTTCAATACCAAACTCATTATACATCAAAATTTATTCAAAGTTTCAAAAACAAGAAGAAATACTCAAATTTTGAATCCATTTTATGTTCCCTGAAATGATCTTCATGTCAACATTAAAGGAAGAAGAAACCCCATTTATGCATCCTTGGAAATGTGAGATTGGATTGATTTGATTCATTCACATGATCTAGATGTGAGAGTTGACATTGGAGCATTGCATGAAGTCAATTATTTGTGATGATCTCAGAAGAACGAAAAGTTGGTGTGTAAAGAAAGACCAAGACTTTGATGATGTAGATCTATCCATGGAAGAAATACGGGTGAGTGTGATCAACATTGCTTTCAATGAGAGTATCTCTTAGCAAAATGCATGAATTAATTGTTTACTATTTTCAAACTTTTTTTGTTTTTAATGTCAAAGTATTGGCACCTGATGACCCTACGTGGAAGGTACAAAATCATGAATTGAGATACACCAAAAAGCATAAACTTTGCTTTCTTGTTTCTTCCCTTATTCCAAAAGAGAAAATAGAACACCCCCACTAAGCATTTTTGCATTCACCACCACCATGCATGCATATTTTAGCCATCACTTTTTAGTCCTCCATAAAAATGAAGATATTAAAGATAAGATTAGGTCTGTAAATGAAAAGTAGCATTCTTGTTTATTGGGTATTTGGAACCTATACTTCTCTTTCTTTCACAATCATCTTACAGAATCTAATAACTCCACTTTCGTCAATTTCTATAGGTAGGATGAGAATAATCCACCCAATGAGATCAAAGAATTTTTTTTAGAAATTAATTCAAAGAAGAGACATGCCTTTGTGTGATATTAATCAATGTCTCAGGGTTTGATGCTTGTTTTTTTGGGATTGCTATGTGAATAATATATGATTTATGACATCACAGATCATTGGTTAGATTTAGTTTGTTCTATCAGTGGAGTTAAGAATAAGAAGAATCTGTGGAGTGATAAGAATCTGCAACACATCTTATTAAAAAACACACAAGAAGAAGATGAAGAAGAAGAAAAGGAATCTATAACACATTATAATACTGCTTATGATCTGCTAATACAGATTTATTATTATAATATTATATGTAACCATTTATTAATATTTTTATTATTTATATTTCTCAGAATCTAAATGAGAATTTTTTATAAGATATTTTTTCTTTTAAATCACTACTTTTACATGTACAAAACTCAAACTTAACCCCTTCTTTAAAGAAAATGAGTTTAGATTCACTCAGATTAATGCAATTGAAATGTATAGTTTCTAATTATAAAGTGAAAAAACATGTGTGAAGGTGCAGAAAGAAAAAGGCCTTTGTAGAAGAAGGATGATACAACAAAGAGGGCCCAACCCAAAAGCCCAGAGTTCATATGTATAATGTGAATCCAAATAGGGGAGTATAAAAGGTAGATGATGATGATGATGAATCAGGTGAAAGAGGACTCTGTAATCACTCACTAAGAGGGAATTTGGTGAATTTTTAATCATAAAATCTTTGACATAAAATCTCACAATCATTCAGATTCAGCATTGATTATGGGGTGGTGAAAAGTTGACATCTTTTGAAATCAGTGAAGACAAAATTGGAAAAGTAAAATCACCATCTCTTTAACTTTTGAGTAATAATGTAAGATCATGCCCTACTTCCATAAGCTTATCCGATTAAAACTTTTAAGCTTGTTATTTGTTAATTAAGATCAAATTAAAGAGTTTAGATTTGAAATGCTGAAAAATAATAGTAATGAGTTAATTAATTATATATTAGTATGATTAACCCCAACATGTGCATGTGGCATGTGCAACCCACTCACTCCATAATGAGTACTAAAATCACAAATCATAATTATTGTTAATGAATACGATGCATTTCATTGATGTGATATCCAGATTTTACAAGTTATTCACCAAACACGTATCGTATAAATAAAACCCTAACCATGCAAATCTAAGTACTCATCATCCACCTTTCATTGCATTGCATTGCATTCCACGCAACAGACACAAACACAAAAACATGGCTTCCTCCTTCTTCTTCCTAACGTTGCTTCTCCTCGCCGCTATCTCCGCCGTCACCCCCTGCCCGCCGTCAGAACGAGCAGCACTCTTGTCCTTTAAAGCTGCCCTAACTGAACCCTACTTCGGCTTCTTCAACACATGGACAGGCACTGACTGCTGCCGGCACTGGTACGGCATTGCCTGCGACCCCACCACCGGCCAGGTCACCGACGTCAACCTCCGCGGCGAGTCCCAGGACCCAATGTTCCTGAAATATGGCCGCTCCGGTTACATGACCGGAAAAATCTCGCCGGAGATTTGCTCTTTGAGCAACCTCACCTCCCTCGTCGTCGCCGACTGGAAGGCGGTTTCCGGCGAAATCCCTACCTGTATCACGTCACTCGCCTCCCTTCGAATCCTGGACCTCGCCGGAAACCGTATCACTGGCAAGATTCCAACTGACATCGGAAACCTCTGGAATCTCGCTGTATTGAGTCTGGCTGACAATGCAATCTCCGGCGAGATTCCGACGTCGATTGTGAACCTGGCCAGACTCATGCATCTCGATCTCAGCAACAACCAACTGATTGGTGAGTTACCCTATGATTTTGGAAAACTTGTCATGTTGAGTAGAGCATTGCTCAGTGGGAACCAGTTAACCGGTTCGATTCCCAAATCCGTTTCCCAAATGAACCGGCTTGCGGATTTGGATGTGTCATCGAACCGGTTAACCGGGTTGATTTCGGTTGAGTTGGGAAAAATGAAGGTTCTCTCTACTTTGAAATTGGATGGTAACTCCATGACGGGTCCAGTACCCTCCACTTTGTTGAGCAATACGGGTATGGGTATCTTGAACCTTAGCCGAAATGGGTTTTCCGGTACCATACCCGATGTTTTCGGGGCGGGTTCTTATTTCATGGTCCTAGATTTGTCGTTCAACAACTTCTCGGGTCGGATACCCGGTTCGTTATCGGCATCCAAGTTTATGGGGCATTTGGATCTGAGCAACAACCACCTATGTGGAACCATCCCAATCGGGTCTCCCTTTGATCATATTGATGCGGCGTCGTTTAGCAACAATGATTGTTTGTGCGGAAACCCGTTAAAGACTTGTTGATGGTCGACCCGACCCGAATGAGTATTGGGTTGTAGGTGAATATAAATATATTCCAAGATATAATAGCGAAGGAGCCAAAGTGTGATTTGAATTTAATGTGATAGTTTTTGTGATGTGTAATATATTTAGGGCAAGTGTTGAAATGGAGAAAAGTTATTGTGAGGGTTTTCCTGGTTCCATGTGCATGCAAGTGAGCATAGGTGAAGAGAGTTCTGAAAAATCTTGTGTTGCATGTGAGTTTAGGAGCTGGATAACGTGAAAGATTTGGATCATGATTCCATTCCCCCCATTTCTCTTTTGATTCCGCAACCAAAGTCCACCATATTTTAAGATAAAATTGTAGTGTGTGCTCATCCCAATGCTCCTACAACATGATATCCAAACCATTTAATTTTACCAACTTCACATTATCATGTTCAAAAGTGCAGATTTATTAACTCAATTGATTTTTGATTTTGTAATCTAGACAAAGTTTGCTTCATTTTCCAAAGACTAAAAATAACTTTGTTTCCAAGAACTGAATTGAATGTTTACTCAACAGAATAATGCAGCCACTACTACCACTTTAGGGGCACGTGATGATGTTCTTCATCCCTTCCCACATTCATTAACTTTGTCCAAAAGGGTATTCCATGGTTTAAAAGTAAAAGTAAGATGAAGAAATGAATAGCTCAAGAAAAAAGAAAAAAAAATGGTTGCACCATTATTTACTACACACTCCACCAACCAAAAAGTAAGCTTGGCCCACCACCTCACTAATGGCTACATTTTGGGTGGCTCCTGGAAGTGGATGATATGATTCTGTGGTTTTCACTCCCTAATCCCTGCATATTACTTACACTTTTTATATTTCCTGAGTAACCACCGGCACCCTTTTTTTCCCAAGATTATCATTGCATTGTCCAACAGTGTCTCCATTATAAATATAAAAAACTTTTTCATTTTTTTTACCTGGAATTGGTTTTTAGAGAAATTTATAAAAGTAGAGGTTGGTGCTATATTTTAAAGTTGTGATGATATGGCGTAAAAGGAAGAAGTTACAAACCTAAGATCCCTATTTATCATGTGAGGCAGTGAGGAGAAAAGTTACAAACTCCAAAGAAGAAAAAGCCACACTAATTTGTTCCACTTGTGATATGGGATCTTTTATATCCAAACTCATCCTCATTGCAACTGTTACCTTTCTTGTCAATCAGATATATATGTTTTCCCAATTCCTCCCATCATACAAAATGATGCCTCTAACATAATTATGAAAACTGGGTTCCACAAACCGGTTCAACAAATCGGATGAAAATAAAAAGTAAAACTGCTTTCCAACTGAACAAACCGGTGTTTAAACTTATGATTTTTATTAAAATGGCTAGCATATTTCAGTATCAGAAAGCCAACTTCAGTGAAGAATATGAATTTATGATGATTGATGATTAGTATGTGAATAATTGAGCAACTTTAACACTTTTTTTTTTCTGTAGATTAGAGTATAATTTCAACATTCCTTTTATTTAGTTTCTGATAGTGGATCCACCCACTATGCACCAATAAGAGACTTTGTTTAGTGGGCCATTTAGTTGTATGGGCTTTGGGCCCTTTTGTCCTTCCTTTTCCTGGCTACCCCTGAAGAAGGCAATGAGAATGCTGTCTTGTTTTGTTTTATCTTCTTTAAATATTCGCCGTCGCATTTCTCACCTTACAAGATGTCCTACCAAAATTTTAAAAGGAAACTCACCATTTCCAGCTTTTCAGAACAACAAAGCAAAGTTGTCAAATACAATCTTTCCAAAATGTTAGTATTTTAAAATTTTATTTTCAATAATTTTGGAAACTCTTTCGTAGTTTTCACTTATGTCTTCGGTATTTTTCACCGTCAAACTTGTTTTAAGATTTAAAAATTTTCAGGCTCAATCAGCATAAAATTTGTCAAAGCCATAAGTTCATTTACCCATACAAATATGTTGGTGCCAAAAAGTAAAACTATAAATGAGGATTGGTCCGGATGGACGGTCAATATTGTCTCCGAAGGATATAATTTACTTTCAAAGATATTTCAATACTTAACATATCAATATATACTTATGTAAAAAATAAAACATAAAATTATATGTGTTGAATAAGATTGTCCTATTTATAAAATTTTCATCCAATTACCTAAGATTATAAATAATATTGTTTTTTAGGTGTAATTATATTGCTTGGAGGGTATATTATGATTTCCTCTTTTTCCAATCAAATACTAGGATCTATTAAGATTTATGTCCTCAATCTTTATATACTTAATAACATTGAAACGTAATAATATTAATATCCTTGTTTTATAGTGTGTAAACCAAGATAGGTATAAAATACATTCATCAAAACATGCATACTTGCATATCATTATAACAATAAGAAAAATTATATTTAGACAACTTAGAAAAAAACATTCAATACATAATAATATCTGTTATTATACTATTATACCAGGTTGTCTAATGGATATTTTTTTTAAAAGATGATTGTCAATATATAATCACCCTATCAAGCACAAGTACATAAATAAGACATAAATTTCAAGCACAAGGTTACTGTTTAGAAGAGTATGGTACAATGGAATTTTTTTATAATAAATGTAAACAAAAGGTTTATTTGGTTGTCAACATAAGGTATCTACTACTAATAGTACATGCATTAGTCCAACCAGGTTCATGCCTACTGCATGAACTATGTAGGGAAATATTTCCTCTTGGCAATATGAGATTATCAATGTATCAGTCAATAATATACCTAATGTTCAAGGTTCCTAAGTCTTTTTTTTAGAGTTACCAAGAAACTAAAGTTTGATAAATTTCAATTGGATGCATAGTAATCTGTCTAAAATATACTCTTACGTTTCAGATTCAAATCCAATATTCCAAAATCCTTCAGGAGTCATGGGCGGAATAAACCTATATCGGTGCCTAGAAACACCATCAAGGTGTTCACAACGGAAATTCTGCTTACTGTCAGAAGCATCCTTGCCATCAGCATTAGGAAGAACAGCATCATAGAACTTCCTGCATTGTTTGCACTCAACTCCTTTCAAATTTTCACGCTCAGCTTTCTTTCTCACTGGCTCAACATATTTGTAACTTCTTTTGTCAACCACTGTTATAGAAGATTGTTTTAGCTTCTTCTGAGGACTGCTTTTGGCATTCATATCCTGTGTTTCATCATCTGAGCCGTCTTCGCAAATGTCTCTCTGAATCAGGTTTGGGAGGTTCTCCTTATTTAAATTTCCTCTGATATTCTCCAGTGGAGTATCAAGAAAATCATCATGAGGGTCAGGACCTGTTCGACTTTGATGGGACCGGGTTTGCCTCCAGGAAGATGCAGGCCGCTTCGTACTAGATACGGAGACTAATTTTGTACTGGATGAACATTTAGGGACATCATGAAAACCGGTAGTTGGAGAACTCAAATTGGCTCCTCTGTCGTCCTCAGATGGCTTCTCCTTCACTTCGTTTATGTCACACGCAGCAACAAACACGTCTGGAGTTTTCTTTTCAAGGCCTAAAACAATAGGAAGTAGATAATGGGTAAGGAAATAACCTAAATTGAACACTTCACTAACTCAACTAGAATTTAATTGGTACAGGTGGATCGAAGTGAAGGCCATTTCATACAAAGACAGTTGAGTAAAGATTCAGAGACAATTCTATTTACCTCCAATGTCTTCCTCTGGGATTTCGCTTCTCACTTCCACTGCTTCACGAGCACCCATAGTGATATTTCGGTTCTCAAATGCAAGACCTGCAATATCATGCAAAAGACAATTGGTGAATAAGGAGAAAAGCCAATGTCAACAGAGAGGCAGCTTCATGCCAGAATCAAAACCCTTTATCCTTTCCCAGACTTTCCATGCCCCTCCAAACAAAAAAAAAAAAAGAAGAAAAGACATCTTAACAAAAACAATTAACAAAACTTAGTAATTCCTTGTGTGCTTTTGGTGTTACCTTCCAATCAGAATTGAGGTTTTACCTTCAGAAGTATGCTGAAATTAAATCTATCCATTTATCATGCACATGATCAGAGTGAAATTCCAATAATATCGGTAAATAACAGCACTAGAAACATCAAGTTTTGTCCTCTCAAAAAAAAAAAAAATACTAGTATCTACAACTACATCTTGTTTACCGTAAATTGTTAGGTTACTTGAATTGATGAAAAAGGGTGGAATAGAAAATGAAATGTAAATAGGTTTCATCATATGAATTGTTTAAAACATATGAACTGCAATGTAACCTAATGAATGCATTATTTTCTATTCTATCCAACACTCTTCTTTTTATACTACTCCAGCACGCATGGAACAAAATTAATTTTATTATTCCTATTCCATCACAAAACATCTAAACAATGATATAATTACTTTACCCCATTCCTTTATATCATATCCTACCTCATTTCACTCACCATTAATAATCCAAACATAAGTTATTGTTTTTCTGTATTACTCACATGTACTCTAGTTTGGAGACATTCTTTTTCAAAGTACTATCAAAAACTATATGCACCTCTACTGGTAGAGATTCAAACAATGGTTTGCCACATTACATGGGACTACCGTTACAGCTTTTTTTACTATCATTATAAATTATAATAGTTTGTAGCGAAACTGTCAGAAAGGCTAATTTGACTAACAAATTTCAATTTCAGAGATTTGCTTGAGAATTTCTAATTTCAGATAATACTATGACAGTTTCTCACATAATCAGGAATCAAGATGGGATACACTCTATTGTTTGTTAATAATTTTGCTGAAATGACACTTTTCAGTTGAAGGATTCATAAACAGACGAACAAATAACCCAAAAACATATGACCAACCCGTTCTAGTTTTCTACGATACAATTACAAGATAAATTAGTACAGTACCAGGTTCTACGATCGGACTCTGATGCGTGCCAAACTCACTTCCACTCTCGATTTTGTTTTGTTCAACCACATTCTCCTCACCGAGACCAACCTTCCGTCGTAGGTAAACGTGCTGAGACTTAAGCCTCTTATACGCCTCAGTCAGGCGATTTCTCTTGGCTCTCTCATCCCGCAATTCACACGTCAGCGCCTCCACGCGCTCTAGTAGCGTCCCTTCCTCATCAATATCTCGCACCTTACTCCTCAGTTTCTCGTCTAACTCCTCGATTCTCGCGAGCAGCACCGCCTTCTCGCTCTCGCAGTCCTCCAATTTTATAAACGCAGCGTTTCGCTTCTCTTCGGCGTCTTTAAGCGCGGAATCCTTGGACTGCACCAATTCCATGAGGTTCTTGTGCAGCACCATGCTCTCGTCGACTTCGCGCTGGAGCTGGTCAATGCGACGCCGTTTGGACGCAGCGTCGGATTTAAATTGAGGGTAGAGCTGGGAGCAGAAGACGTACTCAATCTGCGCAATACGGTCCTTAGTGTCTTGAATTGAAGCTACGAGGATGGTGCTGAGGCTGGCGACGAGGTTTGCGTCGGCGGCGGAGGGGAGAGGAAACCCTAGCTTTGGAGAGGGAGGGTGGGGCACTCTGTCTGTGGTTACTGCCTCCGGTTGGTCCATTGGTGGTGGAGAGAAAATGCGAGCGAAATGAAATTAAAACGCAAATTGGAATGGAAGCGCAGTGGAGGTTGGTGACGGTGTTGTGCTGTGTACTCTTGGCGCGAGAAGGCTAACAAAATATTTAAAATACAAATAATTTCCTTTCCATATAATACTAATTTTTATACAAAACAATATATTAAAAACTTCAAATTTTATAATTTTTATTTAAATTTTAAGCATCTTTAGAAAAAGATAATATCATTTTATTAAAAATAATTTGCCAAGTATGAAATTAGGGAATGATATAATTATCAATTTTAGTTTTCTTGTTTATGAAATGGGGTAGCCCTAGTTTCCATCCACAAGAAAAACCTAAAACCACAATAATTTTCTTATCCAACAACACCTGTTTCTTTCTTCTATTCTATGTATTCTATGCAACTAAACAATATTTTATTTTTTCTTTAATTTTCTATCATCTCACTTAATGATGTAAAGATAAATATAAATCAATTCTATAAAAGATGACATTCATCAGCATTTAATAGTGTAATTCTTTCAATTTTCATCTTACTCAAAGTTACTATTTTTCTATTGCAAATAATAATAAAATTATACACCTGCAACATAATAAATAAATAAATAATGTGTTATAATAGTGACAGGTTAGTCGTGTCATAGTAATAATATATTTATAAATAGGTATTGCATGTTATAATAAAAATATAACACAACATTGTATGCGTGTCTCATCTTAATACATTTTAGGTTCCACTTTGAGATCTTTTCTGTATTCTTCCTGTACTTGAATCTCGTCTTTTTTTTTCTTTTTTTTTTAATCTTTATTTGCCAACATTTTGTTATGTGCTGTTTTTGGAATTCTTATCATAACAAGTGGTATCAGACTTGGTGAACTTGGATGGCTGATTTAACACGATCAAGCGTGGTCTATAAAGAAATGGAAAAACGATTGGTTGCACATTTAGAAAGTCTTCAAGTGGATCTGGCTGGAAATCTTTAATAAGCATTGGCTAAATCTTTGAAAGAAACTGTTCAAAAAATTGTTCAACAGACTATATCCAACTATAATCATTCTTCTAATGGAAGAACGCATCAAAGGCTTGTACACTCTTTGGGAAACACAAGAGTTTTGCGCATTGAGTTTCCTAAGTTCAGTAGTGACAATGTCAACCACTGGGTATTTCAATGTGAGAATTTTTTTACATGCAGGTTCAATTAACCATTATACATCTTGAAGTTTAAGCAGCCCAATGGCAAACAGCGATGGCTAAACATACCAATTGTTATACACTTTCTTGGAGAATGAGGTTGGTGTTAGGTAAACATTAAATTTATGTAGTTGAGAGGTAGTGGTTATAGAGGTAGTAGTTGAGAGATAGTAGTTGTATTGAATGTATGTAGTTGAGAGATAGTGGTTGTATTGAATGTATGTAATTGAAAGGTAGTAGTTGTATTAAATGCATGTAGTTGAGATGCCATATCCAAAGGCCTATAAATTGATCATATATCACTCATTACACACACATCAAGTGATAATATACAGAGTGCTTTATTTAGATATTTGTTTGTCAACAAATTGACATCAGAGCTTGAGAGCCTGAGTGTTTGAGTGCGTTAGAGAGAGTGTTTGAGAGTTGAGAGAGTGTTTGAGAGTTAGAGAGTTTGTTTGAGATGACCAACTTAGCTAACAGCATGCCCCTGCCAAAGTTATCAAAAGGCATAAGTTATGATAACTGGAGCCTGCAAATGAAGACTCTCCTTGGTTCCCAAGAAGTATGGGATGTGGTCGAAAATGGGCACCAAGAACCAGAGAATATTGAAGAGCAGACGATTGCTCAGCTTGCTACATTGAGAGCAACACGAGTAAAGGACAAAACAACTTTGTACGTACTGTACCGAGCTGTTGATGAGTCCGGCTTTGAGAAGATAGCAAATGCTAAATCTTCAAAAGAAGCGTGGGATATTCTGGAGAAGGCAAATAAAGGGGATAATCGCGTGAAGCAAGTCAGACTTCAAACTCTTAGAGGCGAGCTTGAAAGCATGAGGATGAAAGAGGTCGAAGGGGTTATCGAGTACATCTCCCGTGTTGAGACCGTGGTGAATCAACTCGGAAGAAATGGAGAGACGCTACCCACTTGCCGAGTGGTGGAGAAAATCTTAAGGTCGTTTAACTGACGACTTTGAGAATATCGTTTGTGCAATAGAAGAGTCCAAGGACTTGTCGGTGCTCTCGGTGGAAGAGCTTGCCGAGTCGCTTGAAGCGCATGAGCAGCGGAGAAGGAAGAAGAAAGAGGAGTCCCTTGATCAAACACTCCAAGCAAAAGCAACCTTAAAGGAGAAGAAGGTTCCTTATGCTCAGAACACTCAAGGCCGAGGTGGTAGAGGCAGAGGAGAATATGAAAGAGGCAAGGAGTCAGTCAGTCAACAAAACTGGCGTGGTCGAAGACAAGGTAGAGGTCGTGATGGTAGAGGCCGAGGTGGTCAGTCAAGCAATTTCAGAGTTGAGTGCTTCAAATGTGGGAAGTACGGTCATTTTGCTAAGGACTGCTATTCATGTATCAAATGTTATAATTGTGGGAAGGTTGGACATTTCGCAAAGGACTGCCGATCTGAGAGAAAAAAGAAGACAAACCTCCTCTCTGAGGACACTGAGGAAGGAGTATTGATGATGTCGAGAAGTTCGGATGTCGAGCTAAGTTCGAACTGTTCTGACAACTCCGTTTGGTATCTTGATACAGGAGCAAGTAACCACATGTACGGGAACAAGAACTTTTTCAAGGAGCCCACTAAAGTTGAGGCCGGACACGTATCATTTGGAGATGCATCAAAGGTGGCGGTAAAAGGCAGAGGTACAATCTGGTACCTACAGAAGAATAGCCGAGTTGGAGAAATCAGAGACGTGTACTATGTACCCGATCTTAAAAACAACATATTGAGCATGGACCAGCTGATGGAGAAAGGTTATTCGGTTCTGATGAAAGACCGAGTACAATACCTGAAGGACAAGTCAGATCATTTGATTGACCAAGTTGAAATGAAGAAGAACAGAATGTACAAGTTGGACTTGAAGATAGTCCAAGAGAGGTGCTTGAAACTTGACGTAAAGGATGAAGCAATGATGTGGCACTTTCAGTTTGGCCACTTTCATTTTGGCGGGCTGACCAAGTTGGTAAAGAAAGAGATGGTGCGAGGACTCCCGTCTATGGAATTTGAAAAGAAATTCTGTGAAGAGTGTGTGCTCGGGAAGCATCCAAGGACTTCATTTCCGAGGACGGCCAAGTACCATGCAAAGGAACAACTCAGATTGATTCACACAAATCTTTGTGGACCGATTACCCCTGAGTCTTTTAGTGGAAAAAGGTATTTCATTTCTTTTATATATGATTTTTCAAGAAAAACCTGGGTATATTTTTTGAAGGAGAAATTTGAGGTGTTTGAGGTGTTCAAGAAATTTAAAGCAATGGTTGAGAAAGAGACTAGCATGCCTATCAAATCTATTAGGTCTGATCGAGGAGGCGAGTTCATTTCATCCGAACTCATGAAGTATTGCGAGGAGCAAGAGATAAGGAGATTTCTGACAGCACCATACTCACCCCAACAAAATGGAGTTGCCGAGAGAAAGAATTGAACCATTCTTGACATGGTTCGAACAATGTTGAGAAGCAAAAACGTGCCAAAGGAGTTCTGGGCAGAAGTAGTGCAATGTGCCATCTATGTGCAAAATAGATGTCCACATGCTAAGCTGAATGAGAAGACACCGCAAGAAGTTTGGAGTGGAAGAAAACCGAGTGTGTCTCACCTTAAAGTGTTCGGTAGCATAACTTATGGTCATGTTCCAGCTCAACAAAGGACCAAGCTCGAAGATAGAAGCAAAAAGTACGTGTTTATTGGGTATGATGAAAAAACCAAGGTGTACAAGTTGTTTAACCCAATAACTAAGAAGGTCATCATGAGTCGAGATGTTCAAATTGATGAAGAAAGCGAGTGGAGTTGGAACAACCCGGAGAAGGAGTCCATAGGAAGTAGAAGCTCGGAAGTTGATACACCACATACTCTGAGAGATCACGAGACTTCTGATGAAGAAGATGAACCTCTACAGCCCAGAGCGCAAAGTTTACAAGATATATACAACTCCACTGACGAAGTGCATGTTGTATGTCTCTTGGCAGATTCAGAAGACTTAAGTTTTGAAGAGGCCGTGTAGGAGAAAAGGTGGAAAAATGCAATGGACGAGGAGATCAGGGCAATAGAACACAACAACACATGGGAGCTGACTGATTTTCCCAAAGGAACGCGACCTATCAGCGTAAAATGGGTGTACAAGAAGAAGACAAATGTTGAAGGAGAAGTTGAGCGATATAAAGCTCGACTCGTAATGAAGGGACACAAGCTGCAGATATGTTCACGAAGCCACTGTCAATCACTCTATTCGAGAACAACAAGATGCTTGGAATGAAGGACAAGAAAAACATTTAAGTTTATGGGGGGATTTTGTTAGGTAAGCATTAAATGCATGTAGTTGAGAGGTAGTGGTTATAGAGGTAGTAGTTGAGAGATAGTAGTTGTATTGAATGTATGTAGTTGAGAGATAGTGGTTGTATTGAATGTATGTAGTTGAAAGGTAGTAGTTGTATTAAATGCACGTAGTTGAGAGACCATATCCAAAGGCCTATAAATTGATCATGTATCACTCATTACACACACATCAAGTGATAATATACAGAGTGCTTTATTTATATACTTGTTTGTCAACAGTTGCATCAAACATCTACTGTCCATGAATACTATGATGCTTTTAACTCCATGTCGCCGCCGTCTGAAAAAGAGGCGGTCGGAGCGACGCGATGGTTTTTTCGACCCATTTTGATTTTTCGCGTTTTTTATGGGTGGTTACAACGCCTTTAGGTTGTCCGATAACCGGGCTAACCTAGGGGCGAGGTTTTCGAAAAGGTGTCCTTGGGTTGTCCGATAACCGGGCTAACCCAAGGACTTATTTA